CCCTCCTGTTGTCTAGTTCTCCCCTCTTATTGTCTAGTTCTCACCCACTATTGTCTAGTTCTCCACTCCTGTTGTTTAGTTCTCACCTCCTATTGTCTAGTTCTCCCTTCCTAATGTCTAGTTCTCCCCTCCTGTTGTCTAGTTCTCCCCTTTTATTGTCCAGTTCTCACCCACTATTGTCTAATTCTCCCCTCTTATTGTCTAGTTCTCACCCACTATTGTCTAGTTCTCACCTCCTACTGTCTATTTCTCCCCTCTTATTGTCTACCTCTCACCCACGATTGTCTAGTTCTCACCCACGATTGTCTAGTTCTCACCCCCGATTGTCTTGTTCTCTGCTTCTGTCGTCTAGTTCTCACCCCCGATTGTCTAGTTCTCCCCTTCTATTGTCTAGTTTTCCCCTCCTATTGTCTAGTTCTCACCTGCGATTGTCTAGCTCTCCCCTCCTATTTTCTAGTTCTCCACTCCTATTGTCTAGTTCTCCCCTCCTATTGTCTAGTTCTTCACTCCCAGTGTCTAGTTATCCTCTCCTATTGTCTAGTCCTCCCCTGCTATTGTCTAGTCCTCACCTCCTATTGTTTAGTCCGCCCCTCCTATTGTCTAGTTCTCCCCTCCTATTGTCTAGTTCTCCCCTCCTATTGTCTAGTTCTTTCCTCCTATTGTCTAGTTCTCCCCTCCTATTGTCTAGTTCTCCACTCCTATTGTCTAGTTCTCCCCTCCTATTGTCTAGTCCTCACCTCCTGTTGTCTAGTTCTCCCATCCTATTGTCTAGTAGTCCCCTCCTATTGTCTAGTCCTCACCTCCTATTGTCTAGTTTTCCCCTCCGATTGTGTAGTTCTCACCCCCTATTGTCTAGTTCTCCCCTCCTATTGTCTAGTTCTCCCCTCCTTTGTCTAGTTCTCCCCTCCTGTTGTCTAGTTCTCCCCTCCTGTTGTCTAGTTCTCCCCTCCTATGGTCTAGTTCTCCCCTCCTGTTGTCTAGTTCTCCCCTCCTATGGTCTAGTTCTCCCATCCTATTGTCTAGTTCTCCCCTCCTATTGTCTAGTTCTCACCCCTATTGTCTAGTTCTCCCCTCCTATTGTCTAGTTCTCACCCACTATAGTCTATTTCTCTGCTCCAATTGTCTACTTCTCCCCTCCTATTGTCTAGTTCTCACCTCCTATTGTCTAGTTCTCCCCTCTTATTGTCTACCTCTCACCCACGATTGTCTAGCTCTCACCCACAATTGTCTAGTTCTCACTCCCGATTGGCTTGTTCTCCGCTTCTATTGTCTAGTTCTCCCCTCCTATTGTGTAGTCCTCACCTCCTATTGTCTAGTTCTCCCCTCCTAATGTCTAGTTCACCCCTCCGATTGTCTAGTTCTCCCCTCCTATTGTCTAGTTCTCGCCCCTATTGTCTAGTTCTCCCCTCCTATTGTCTAGTTCTCCCCTCCTATTGTCTATTCTCACCCACTGTTGTCTAGTTCTCCGCTCCTATTGTTTAGTTCTCACCCCCTATTGTCTAGTTCTCCCCTCCTAATGTCTAGTTCTCCCCTCCTGTTGTCTAGTTCTCCCCTCCTATTGTCTAGTTCTCCCCTCCTGTTGTCTAGTTCTCCCCTCCTATTGTCTAGTTCTCCCCTCCTGTTGTCTAGTTCTCCCCTCCTATTGTCTAGTTCTCCCCTCCTGTTGTCTAGTTCTCCCCTCCTATTGTCTAGTTCTCTCAACCTATTGTCTAGTTCTCCCCTCCTATTGTCTAGTTCTCACCCTATTGTCTAGTTCTCCCCTCCTATTGTCTAGTTCTCATCCACTATTTTCTAGTTCTCCCCTCTGATTGTCTAGCTCTCACACCTATTGTCTACTTCTCCCCTCCTATTGTCTAGTTCTCACCCCCATTATCTAGTTCTCCCCTCCTATTGTCTAGTTCTCCCCTCTTATTGTCTAGTTCTCACCTCCTATTGTCTAGTTCTCACCTCCTATTGTCTATATATCCCCTCTTATTGTCTACCTCTCACCCACGATTGTCTAGTTCTCACCCCCGATTGTCTTGTTCTCCGCTTCTATTGTCTATTTCTCACCCCCGATTGTGTAGTTCTACCCTTCTATTGTCTAGTTCTCCCCTCCTACTGTCTAGTTTTCACCCACGATTGTCAAGTTCTCCCCTCCTACTGTGTAGTTCTCACCTCCTATTGTCTAGTTCTTCCCTCCTATTGTCTAATTCTCTCCTCCTATTGTCTAGTCCTCCCCTCCTGTTGTCTAGTCCTCACCTCTTATTGTCTAGTCCTCCCCTCCTATTGTCTAGTTCTCCCCTCCTATTGTCTAGTTCTCACCCTCTGTTGTCTAGTTTTCCCCTCTTATTATCTAGTTCTCCCCTCTTATAGTCTAGCTCTGACCCACAATTGTCTAGTTCTCACCCCCGATTGTCTAGTTTTCCCCCCCTATTGTCTAGTTCTCACCCCCTATTGTCTAGTTCTCCTCTCCTATTGTCTAGTTCTCCCCTACTAGTGTCTAGTCCTCCACTCCTTTTGTCGAGTTCTCCCCTCCTATAGTCTAGTTCTCACCCCCGATTGTCTACTTCTCACCTCCTATTGTCTAGTCCTCCCCACCTATTGTGTCGTTCTCAATTCCTATTTTCTAGTTCTCCCCTCCTATTGTCTAGTTCTCATCCCCCATTTTCTTGGTCTCCCCTCCTATTCTCTAGCTCTCACCTCCTATTGTCTAACCCTCACCCCCTATTTTCTAGTTCTCACTTCCTTTTGTCTAGCCCTCACCAGGTATTGTCTAGCTCTCACCACCTATTGCCTAGTTCTCACCCACTATTGTCTAGTTCTCCCCTCCTATTGTCTAGTTCTCACCCCCATTGTCTAGTTCTCACCTCCTACTGTCTAGTTCTCACCTACTATTTGTCTAGCCCTCTCCCGCTATTGTCTAGTTCTCACTTCCTATTGTATAGTTCTCCCCACTATTGTCTAGTTCTCACCTCCTATTGCCTACTTCTCCCTCCTATTGTGTAGTTCTCACCCCCTATTGTCTAGTTCTCCCCCCTATAGTCTAGTTCTCACCCCCTATTGTCTAGTTCTCACCCCCAATTGTCTATTTCTCACCCTCTATTGTCTAGTTCTCCCCTCCTTTTGTCTCGTTCTCCCCTCCTATTGTCTAGTTCTCACCAATGATTGTCTAGTTCTCACCCATGATTGTCTAGTCCTCCTCTCCTATTGTCTAGTTCTCCCCTCGTATTGTCTAGTTCTCCCCTCTTATTGTCCAGCTCTCACCCCATATTGTCTAGTTCTCCCCTCCTATTGTCTAGTTCTCACCCACGATTGTCTAGTTCTTAACCCCGATTGTCTAGTTCTCCCTCCTATTGTCTAGATCTCCCCTCCTTTTGTCTAGTTCTCCCCTCCTGTTGTCTAGTTCTCACCCACGATTGTCTAGTTCTCACCCACTATTGTCAAGTTCTCCCCTCCTATTGTCTCGTTCTCCCCTCCTATTGTCTAGTTCTCCCCTCCTATTGTCTCGTTCTCCCCTCCTATTGTCTAGTTCTCCCCTCCTATTGTCTAATTCTCCCTTCCTATTGTCTAGTTCTTAACTCCTGTTGTCTAGTTCTCACCCCTGATTGTCTAGTTCTCCCCTCCTATTGTCTAGTTCTCACCCTCTATTGTCTAGTTATTGCCTCCTATTGTCTAGTTCTCCCCTCCTGTTGTCTAGTTCTCACCCCCGATTGTCTAGTCCTCTCCTCCTATTGTCTAGTTCTCACCTAATATTTGTCTAGCCCTCACCCCCTATTGTCTAGTTCTCACTCCCATTGTCTAGGCCTCACCCCCTAATTTCTAGGCCTCACCTCCTATTGTCTAGCTCTCACCTCCTACTTTCTCGTTCTCACCTCCTCTTGTCTAGCCTTCACCTCACCCAACATTTCTTCTCTCCCCTGACATACCATCCTGCCCTTCCACCATGCTGTACCTCTGCACACACTGTTCCTTCTGCCTGGAATGCCCTAGACCTCACCACTACCACATCCAGCTGCCCACTTGTATTTTGTTTTTGTTTTGTTTTGTTGAGATATGGTCTCTCTCTGTTGCCTAGGCTGGAGGGCACTGCAATCTCCACTCACTGCAGACTCAATCTAATAGGCTCAAGCCATCCAAACACCTCAGACTCTGGAATAGCTGGGACCACAGGTGCACACCATCACACCTGGCTAACTTTTATATTTTTTGTAGAGATGGGGTTTCACCATGTTTCCCCAGGCTGTCTCAAACTTCTCAAACAAACAATCCCCCTGCCTTGGCCTCCCAAAGTGCTGGGATTATAAGCATGAGCCACTGTGCCCGGCCCCCATCCATATTCTTCTTAGTGGACTCCTACTGATCCTTTAAGGCCCAGCACAAATGTTTCTGTCTGTGAATCCATTAGGAGTACCCTGCAAATTGGTTCTCAAACAAGGAACACACACAGAACAATTCTCTGTAAACCTTTTTTTAGCTCCTACGATATCAGGCTCACAGTGCCCATCCTGCTAAGTTCACCATTACCCAGTCTGCAGGGGCAGAGCCGGCGCTGTGGGTTTAGGGCTGAGGTGGGGCAGCCTCACGGAGGAGGAGGCGATGTTCAAATGCCCCTAAGGGATGGGTCAGGTTCCAGGATCTGATTTACACACGTTTTTCCACCGTTTTAAGGTTTAGAAAGTCCCAAAGTAGGAAAACATTAAGATAATCATTCTTAGGGAGGGAACATTTGGAAAAATCTGGAGGCATGTTTGGTTTTCAAAACCTAGGGCAGTGGGTGGGTGCTGCTGGCATCTAGTTAGTGAAGGCCAAGAACACTGCTAAACGTCGCACAAAGCACAAGGCAGCCCCCACAGCAAGGAATTCTCTGGCGCAAAATGTCAACTATGCATGGCTGAGAAACCCTGTCGCAAGCTCTTCCTCTTGCGGGGAAGGATCCAGCATTATCCAAGAGCTGGAGGAGGAAGAAGTGTGCGCAGGGAGAGGAAAGGAGTGTGACCCTGTCTCTGTCACCTCCTCAGGTGAATGGCATCCTAGAAAACTGGATCTGGCAGCTGGTGGCCGCACTGAAGTCTCAGCTGGCACAGCCAGTGAACGTGGGGCTGGTGGACTGGATCACCCTGGCCCAAAACCACTATACCATCGCCGTTGGCAACACGCGCCTCGTGGGCAAGGAGGTCGCGGCTCTTCTCCGGTGGCTGGAGGTACTGGCCTGACCCATCCTTCCTTCACCTGCCTTCCCTCCTTTCCCTTCCTCTGAGACTGAGTGAATTAAGCTGGTTTCCAACAGCAGCCCAGACAGGAGAAGCACTAACGCTCAGCTCAAAGGAATGAGAAGGCCAGGACTGAGACCAGACCTCAGGGCTCTCTCAGACGCCTCCCTGGAACCCCTGTTTTGCCGAACCATCTTCTCCCCGCTCCTCATCCACTATCCCTCTTACGCTAACCCCTCAGACACGCAATGGGATCCAAACGCACCCTGTAAGCTATCAGGTCCCCACACAAACGAGTGGGATGACTTCTGTAGGACGTTAGTGTCCAGGAAAAGGCAGGCAGGCAGGAGGCAGCAGCCACCAGGTAAGGTCCCAGGTACCTGAGCCCCAGGAGAGTCAGCCAGGCAAGAGACGGGTTTCAGTTTGGAGTGTGAATAAGTCACCTCATTTCTGAGCAGGCTCGAAGAACAGGGCGGGTGCCAGAACGCACTAGACCACAAAAGGTATCTCTTCTCCTGCCCTCATCCCCCTGCTGTCTTCCAGGAATCTGTTCAATTCTCTCGAAGCCATGTTCATCTAATTGGCTACAGCCTGGGTGCACACGTGTCAGGATTTGCCGGCAGTTCCATCGGGGGAACGCGCAAGATCGGGAGAATCACAGGTAACCATGCCTGATAACTCACGCTGCAATCTCCACTACATGGGGGCATCCAGCAGGGACCTCCTTTTCCAACAGGCTCATCATTAAAATGTCCCAACTCTTTTTAAGATCAGAGCTCATAAGAGGACTTACAACATTCTCTCAAACATGACCAATGTCGCGGACTCCTGTTCCACAGCATTCAGAGCAAATTACAACCTCAACTCAAACAAATGTCTCATGTAGATGCACCAAAGGGGACTAAAACATGGACTCTTCTAGCAAGAAGGTCTTTTTTTATTTTTGAGTTGGAGTCTCACTCTGTTGCCCAGGATGGAGTGCAGTGGTGCAATCTCGGCTCACTGCAACCTCCACCTCCCGGGTTCAAGCGATTCTCCTGCCTCAGCCTCTCGAGTAGCTGGGACTACAGGCATGCGCCACCACAACCAGCTAATTTTTGTATTTTTTAGTAGAAACAGGGTTTCACCATATTGTTCAGGCTGGTCTTGAACTCCTGACCTTGTGATACACTCGCCTCAGCCTCCCAGAGTGATGGCATTACAAGGATGAGCTACCGCACTTACCAGGGCCTTATTTTTTAATCTATAATTTACGAAGTCCCATTTGGGTGAATGAAGGAGTGAAGAATCACAGCCTTAATTGGCTGTAATTCATCAGCCGTGTTAGTGCCTCTGTTCCCACATTTGTGAAACGTGTGTATTTTATTCTGGGACCCATTGGGGTTGAAGGAGGGAGCTCTGCATCAAAAACTTCACCCCGAACTCCATACCTACTCAGAAATGCCCCAAGATATCCGGGAAGGCCGGCACACGGGCAAGAAAGGTCTTCCCCCCAGGCTTCCCTGACACCAGCCCCATCCTTCACACTGCCAGGGATTAGAATGCAAGACACAAAGCTGGTCAGATTGTTCCCCAGCCCAAGTTTGAGGCCCACTGATACCACAGGCATAAAACCCACAAGGCGCAGGCAAGGAAGGCCCTTCTCAGTGTGGAAGCCCCAGACTGCCCCAGCCTCTCCTCCTGCTCATCCTTTTCCATAGCTCTGGTTGTCAACAACATAAGATTTTTCTCCACTTCATGAACACACCATAGCCTCCTGTGCCTCTGGGCCTTTCCACGCACTCCTCCCTTTCCCCACCACTCACCCCACCAAGCTCCTACTCATCCTTCAGGACCCGGCAGGCTCAAACCATATTTCACAGGCTAAAACAAAGAGTATTTGAGACGAATAACAGAGTGGTTACAACTTTATATTTTAACGAGAGGGCAATTTTAAAAACAACTACTGTCTACTATCACCATTCCTTTATAAAAGAATAGAACGCAGATAATGGCAGACAGGTAAACGGAATACATTTGTGATTATGAGAGCTCATTTCCTCATGCTTTTTTGTTCATCTTGCTGGTGACTGGGGAAGCCTGGTCCAGTGTGTGTTCCCCATGGATTTAAGCCACAGTCCCCTAGGGGCGAGCAGCCAGAGGGCAGAGGCCCGAGGACCAGAACCCTCTCCATCCAACCAGGGCTGTGGGTCGCATCAGGTGTGTCAGCTGGGCACCCCCCGCCTCAGAGACAGCAGGAAGGCTCAACACCCTCAGGCTGTCTTGTTATCAGCATGATGAAGAAGGAAATAGAAATGACATCAGAACATTTTTCTTTTCTTTCTTTTTTTTTTTTTGAGATGAAGTCTCGTTCTGCTGCACAGGCTAGAGTGCAGTGACACAATCTTGGCTCACTGCAGCCTCCACCTCCCAGGTTCAAGTTTTTCTCCTCCGTCAGCCTCCCAAGTAGCTGGGACTACAGGTGCCTGCCACCACGCCTGGCTAATTTTTGTATTTTTAGTAGAAATGGGATTTTGTGATGTTGGCCAGGTTGGTCTCGATCTCCTGACCTCAGGTGATCCACCCACCTTGGCCTCCCCAAGTGCTGGGATTACCAGGCGTGAGTCACCACACCTGGCCAACGACATTTTTCATTTGTCACTGGGAGTGGGACTGGAGAATGGGCAATCTCACAGCCCACTCTCAATTCCTTCACCCCTCATAGTAGAGAAGAAAGCCAAGGTTGGGATGGGACACCAGAGGGTCCTCCAGAGAGGGAAGAGGAAGAAAGACAGGGAAAACCCTTGGGTGCATAAATACTATGCTACCACATTCAGCCGGGGGCAGCCACCTTGCTCCAGGCACATACACTGTCACTTGAGGCCCAGAGCTTTGAGCTACCCTGCCTGCACACATTTTCACCCTTTACGCTGGTGTTCTGAGGCTGTTCTGGACGTTCTGACAAAATGACATTGTAGGAGAAAAATTAGCTTGTTTAGGGAAATTATTGACAACATGCAGGAAACAAATTTCATTCTTTGATAGGTAGGTTGGAACTACTTATAATGAGTATATTGGCTTTTTTTATGGATGCAAACAGATGGTCTTGAAAGAAGTTTGAGAGGTACTCAAAATTGATTTGCTTAAGTAATTCAAGCATTCCCTTTTTTCTTCTTGAGACAGGATCTCCCTCTGTTGCCTAGGCTGGGTCACAGTGGTGCAATAATGGTTCACTGCAACCTCAAACTCTTGGGCTCAAGTAATCCTCCTGCCACAGCCTCCTGAGTAGCTGAAACTACTATGTGTTAGGCACATGCTACCACACCCAGCTAAGTTTTGGTTTTTTTGTTTGTTTGTTTGTTTGTTTTTTGAGACAGAGTTTCATTCTTGTCGCCCAGGCTGGAATGCAGCAGTGCAATCTCTGCTCACTGCAACCTCTGCCTCTCGGGTTCAGGTGATTCACCTGCATCGGCCTCCAGAGTAGCCAGGATTACAGGCATGTGCCACCACACCCAGCTAATTTTGTATTTTCAGGAAAGACAGGGTTTCTCCATATTGGTCAGGCTGGTCTCGAGCTCCTGACCTCAGGTGATCCACCTGCCTCGGCCTCCCAGAGTACTGGGTTTACAGGTGTGAGCCACCGCACCCAGCCTTGTATTGTTTTTTTAGAGATGGGGTCTCACTATGTTGCCCAGGCCTCCCGGCCTCAAGCATCATAACCTTATGTCTACCACTGGATAGTTTCTGCAAACCTCTTCCCCTCTAGCTAATTCCCAGCTGTGTCTCATTGTTAGCACCATGAATTACTGTAGTTTTACTGAGAAAAAGTTACGGCAAGATTTTCTAGAGAAGGATTATGCTCTAGGTGTTTCTTCTTCCTACTAGCTCATCAATGTATAATAAAATGAAAAAGCTAAAAAGCACATTTCTCGTCCCCTCTCCTTGCTCCCACCTAACCCTTACCCCTGCTTTCCAATTAGGGCTGGATCCTGCGGGCCCTTTGTTTGAGGGAAGATCCCCCAGCGATCGTCTTTCTCCAGATGATGCCAATTTTGTGGATGCCATTCACACCTTTACCCGGGAGTATATGGGCCTGAGTGTGGGCATCAAACAGCCCATCGGGCACTATGACTTCTATCCCAACGGGGGCTCCTTCCAGCCTGGCTGCCACTTCCTAGAGCTCTACAGACACATCGCCCAGCACGGCTTCAATGGTGAGCAAGAAGTCATGGGGCCAGAGCACCAGCCTACACTTCCACGGGCCCACTGGAATTCAGTGGAATCTACCAATATGTGGGACTCGGGGAAGAGTTCAGCAAGGGTAGGGGCCCAGGTTGTATGGTCACCGAGCCCACCCAGAGAGAATGAGAATGGGAGTGGGCAAGTCCACACCCTGAGGATGAGCCGAGGGTACCAGCAGGAACACCCACTTCTCACCCTGGCCCTGTGTGCCTAAGCAAAGCCTCTCCCCCAGCACCAGCTCTTCTGAGAGTTGAGTCTGGTTGCTTGTGGTTATTCTTCCTTCTCTGGAAGTTTCTTCATTCCAGGGACTGCCTCTATTCTGAGCTACGTGAGGATCTACTTAATAGGTTGTGGTTCCTTGAACCCTGCTCTCACCCTTCATCCCACCCCATCAGTTTAATTGGGGACATTACTCAGATTCTCCCAATGGGAAATTTAGCTTCAAATATGTCCTTGTTACACCCTTTACCTTAGGGCAGACACAGAATGTGCCATTATCTGGGTTGTGATCCCACTTTTCTCCCAAGTCCTAAAACTGAAATATTAACATGCACATTGATCATACGCACAGGATTAAAGAACAAAAGTGTCAGCAGAAGCAGCACATTCCACGGGCATTCTAAATTTCTTGCTATTATAAAATGTCATCCTGATTAAGACATGCCAATCACTCAAAGCCAGCTAGAGCCCTCTACCCCCGCAAGCCACCTCACCCTGATCATCTGACACTGAGGTGAGAACACACTCTCTTGTGATGACACCATCCTCGCCTCTCTAATATCAGAATGACCTTCACACTCCACATCACCTCATTTTGGCTGGATTCCTAGTCTTCCGCCGCCCAGGCCTGAGAAAGCCTTCTGGGAACTTGCCCTTTCATCGCTTACATCCCCCACCCACCTTCGCCCCCCCATCGCCTCCCATCCAGCCACCAGCAGTTCCCAGCTGACCTTCCAGCCCTCCTCCCAAACTTCACCCCCACAAAGCTCGGTGGAGACCACCAGGATGGTGCATGGGCTTTATTTGCCTGGTAAACACATCCCTGACCAATCATTACCATTTGCTCTTTTTTTTTTTTTTTTTTTTTTGAGACGGAGTTTCGCTCCTGTTACCCAGGCTGGAGTGTAATGGCGCAATCTCGGCTCACCACAACCTCCATCTCCTGGGTTCAAGCAAATCTCCTGCCTCAGCCTCCTGAGTAGCTGGGACTACAGGCATGTGCCACCATGCCCAGCTAATTTTTGTATTTGTAGTAGAGACGGGGTTTCACCATGTTGACCAGCATGGTCTCGATCTCTTGACCTTATGATCCAACCACCTCGCCCTCCCAAAGTGCTGGAATTTTTTATAGGCATGAGCCACCGCGCCCGGCCCCATTTGCTCTTTTGTGCTAAACTTCAAAGCAATGGAACCGAATATAGGTATTCAGCTTGCCCAAGTTTGGGATGGTTTTTCTCAGCTGTCTTCACCCCTGTGTTTGAAAGGGTTCCTGGGGGTAGTTCTCCCAGCCAGGACTGCACGGGGGTCACTGGAGAACTGCTGTTCCACCCTCACTGCCTCCTAGGTGGATGAGCTTGGGTGAGTTAGTAGATGTCTTGGAGGCTCAGTTACCTTGTTGATAACAGCCGTGTCAAGGAGCGGCAGTGAGGATGCAGGCAGTGGAGGAGCGAGGGCATGCAGCATACACAACCTCCCAGTGGGTGCCCAGCGAGTGCAGCCGCCAGTGTCCAAGGACTGTGACGACTAATACTGGTATTTAGCCTCCAGACACCTGGGGAAATAGCTTTTGGCAAAGTCACCTGTGCTGTCCTTTTACATCAAGTGTTTTACATATCGGGAGGTGGTTTCTCAACATCCCTTGAGAATTATTTACTACAGATTAGGTGAAAATTTGGAAAGTTAAAAAAACAAAAGTTCAAATCCATGGTAGATCAACCTCATAAGCCTGTTTTGGGGGTGAGGGCTGTGCAGATCTGGTTACTAGGCAATGTCCTTCCAAATCCAGTCCTCGTGCTGATTTCGCAGGCCTGCTACCTAAGGGATGCAGTGGCTGCTTTCGGACATAAGGTAGACATTGCCGAGAGGCCTCAGCGTTTTCCAGACTGTCAGAGCGCCACGGGAGTGTATCCTGTATCTAGCTATATTAAGAGAAAAGGTGTTCCCAGGTAAGCCAGTTCCAGAAACCCCATCCTCCAGACATCAGCGCCAGGACATTTTAAGTTATCCCGTTTAAGATAGAAATATTTCTTCTTTTTTTTTTTTTTTTTGAGATGGAGTCTTGCTCTGTCTCCAGGCTGGAGTGCAGTGGCGCGATCTCAACTCACTGCAACCTCTGCCTCCCAGGTTCGAGCGATTCTCCTGCCTCAGCCTCCCGAGTAGCAGGGACTACAGAAATGTGCCACAACACCCAGCTAATTTTTGTATTTTTAGTAAAGATGGGGTTTCACCATGTTGGCCAGGATGGTCTTGATCTTTTGACTCGTGATCCAGCTGCCTCCTCCTCCCACAGTAGATAGAAATATTTCTATAATAAATACATAATAAATTACACTAACCTGTTCTCTGAATGAATTTACTTAGTGACTTGGGTGCCTATTCAAACGCCTGCTCTAACACACTGCCATAGAGGAGTGCTCTCAGGATCCCAGCAGTGCCAGGAATTTTGCCTGACACTATGTGACCCAGAAGGTCTGCTTCCTTAGTTTCCGTCAGTTGTCACATCCCGCTGTTGTCAGGGGGTCCTCCTCAACAAGCCCACCCCTGCCTGTCCTGTGTGCTACTGCTAACCTCCTGTGGGCTGAGAGCCAAGGTGACCCTCTGAGTTGAGGCTGCTTTGGGTTAAGGGATGATAACGTCCTTCTTGCCCTGTGTTCCAGCCATCACCCAGACTATCAAATGCTCCCACGAGCGATCGGTGCACCTTTTCATTGACTCCTTGCTGCCCGCCGGCACGCAGAGCACCGCCTACCCGTGCAGGGACATGGACAGCTTCAGCCAGGGCCTGTGCCTGAGCTGCAAGAAGGGCCGCTGCAACACGCTGGGTTACCACATCCGCCAGGAGCCGCAGAGCAGGAGCAAGAGGCTCTTCCTTGTGACGCGAGCCGAGTCCCCCTTCAAAGGTGAGTGTGGAGCCGGGGAGCCTTCAGAAGGGCACCATGCAGTCCCCTGTCCAAGGGGCTCAGAACTCCCCTCGGCTCTTTTCCTGGAGGTGCTTCAGCTCTGCTGTTGCAGCGTTTCTAAAACTCTGCAGGCTCCAGACAGCGACGATGACACAGCTTTCTCCCAAGAGTGTGGCCACCTTACTGCCAAGAGCTAGGAGGAGAAACCTCGATAATTTCTAAAACGATCCTTGGGTTAGCCTCTCTATCCATTTTCACAGTCCCCTGGAATGTTAGATCTGCAAGACCACACGCTTTGTTAGATCTACAAGGCCACCCAGACTCACTGTACAGGGACTTGGGGCATCTCCAAACACAGCCTAGAACCCAGTTCTTTCATCTCTGTTCACAGCCCTTGTGAAAAAAAAAACTGGATTTCCAGACTGCATTTCATTCCCCCAAAAATTTGCATCAGCCGATCTTAGAGGACATTACCGTCACCCTGAGGCACTCCCAAGACAAGAGTGAGCTCCCAATGTTTCCCAGTCAGATTTTTAACCTCAGGGCAGAAAGTGGGCCTGGCAGCTCTCAGGATTTGCAGAAAGGACTGTGGCCACGTCTTAGCTGAGGCCAAGAGAGAAATACTCCACTGAAACCTAAATCCTCCTGGAGGGAACAAGCTGACATCTGTTGCCATTAACATTTCTTCCTAATCCTTAAAACAGCTCAGGAGTGATTTAGCATCTTACAGTTTCATCGCACAGCCTCTCCAGCTCTGGGAGAAGAAAGCTGGTGTCGCGCTGTTTGACCATTACCATGCAGATATTTGTGTCTGGAGAACGTGACCAGGCCACCGCCACCACTTTGCTTTTAGAGCACGTTTTACAAAACAAAACATTCGATGCAGCCATCGACTCCTCCTGGTTCTCACAAGGCAAGGACAGCAGGGCCGGTTATGATCCCATTCTAAAGAGGAGGAAACCAAAACTCACGTGGGGTGCCAACAGCTGCGCTGCTATAAAGAGACCTGGCACAGGGTCACCCAACTCCCAGTCATGAGTTCAAACTCCCAGGCAGCTTAGTTTTGAGGCACAGGATTCCTCTTGTATTTAAACTTTTGCTCTCCAGCCAGGTTTCCCTTCCGTGAGTCAAGCAGGTTCAGGAATGACAGAAATTTCTTGCGGGTGCACATAGCATTTAAAAAGTAGTTGGTGTGAGAGCAAGATCTTTCGGGTCAAAGGGTCCCTCCAGTGTCTGTCCCTTAGGGCTGGAGGAGATGGCAGCATGCAAGTGAGGGAATTTGGAAGTCCTCCTGCTTGGGCCCCCTGCAGGCTGTCAATTAGAGACTCATTTGGGTTAACCAGCTCCTTTAAATAACAATGCTGCCTGGAGTTAAGCCTGTTTGATAATCACATTTCTCTGGATCTATTTTAAGCATGGAATGTTCGCATCTTGAGGAATGTTTCAACCCTGCCATTTTTCAGATAAGGAAACCAAGGCCGAGGCAGGGAAAATGATTTGTCCAGAGACAAAAAGCTCTTGGCAGACCTGGCATTTAGACCCGGGGCCTCCAAACAGTGAGTGGAGTGATTTTTACCTCCCTAACCTACCCCTGGTCTGTCTGTGGGGGTGAGAGGGGAGGTGGAAGAGAAGGAGAGGGTGATAGCTTTCTGCTTGAAATCAGCTGGGAAGAAAAGAGGTCATTTTTCATCTTCCAGGGCTGAAGTGGGTACTTCATCTGAAGTAAGGGGCTTGGCCCAGCCTGAGAACATCTCCTGGGAGCTTGGAGATGGGGGAGGAAGGGAACCATCAAGAGAAGGGGAAACAAGAGCAGTGGGCATGAGCCAGGCCGAGCTTCTCCCATTTGCCAATGACCCCAGTGCCCAACCACTATACACTGCTGGTGTGAGCGCACAAGGATCCCTTTCGTATTAAGGAAGACCAAAGAATTGCATTAGAGCATCATTATCTTACCCACCAGCTTCTGAAACCAATGTACTCATCCATCCGTGTATTCTTCAAACACAGTCCTACCCTCATGGGTCTCGGTGGAGACCAACCTGCAATGAGTCCCTTGGAGACCGCATCTGTGTCTCTTTATCACCAACTATTAACATCTTCTTTTGCTCCAGAGACATCCAGTGAGGAGGGGGCTAAAGGCAGGACTGCCTCAAACTGGTCAGGAACTGAAACTCCCAGCCCCAATGGAGGTTCCAGTGCTGAGCTGTGGCTTGCACCACACCCTCTCCATTTATTTATTTATTTTTATGTATATTTATTTATTTATTTGAGACGGAGTCTCACTCTGTCACCCAGACTGGAGTGCAGCGGTGCAATCTGGGCTCACCACAACCTCCACCTCCCGAGTTCAAGCCATTCTCCTGCCTCAGCCTCCTAAGCAGCTGGAATTACAGGCGCCCACCACCACACCCAGCTAATTTTTGTATTTTTAGTAGAGATGGGGTTTTGCCATGTTGGCCAGGCTGGTCTTGAACTCCTGACCTCAGGTGATCCGCCTACCTTGGCCTCCCAAAGTGTTGGGATTACAGGCGTGAGCCACCACGCCCAGTCCACACCCTCTCCTTTTCTGTCACCTTTCAAATTCTCCCCAGTTCTGCTTCAGCCCCTCCAGTGAGCAAAGCCCTCACCCGATCAACACAGTTTCACTTGCTAGTGGAGAGCAACCTCTCTGAGGTCACATCAAGCAGCCCTGGGCATGGCTGGAAAGCGCACCCATGTGAGGCTCGCCTGTTTGAAGCAGCTGCTCATGGGATACTGCTGTCTGTATAATGTTATGTTGTCCAATATGGTAGCCACAAACCATATGTAGCTATTTAAACCCACATCTCAGTTACTTTAAATTAAATAAAACCAAAAATTCCGTTTGTCAGTCACAGAAGCCACCTTTCAAGCGCTCAAATACGTGGCTGCTGCATCAGAGAGCACAGAAATAAAACATTTCCATTGCTGCGGAGAGTTCTATTGATGGCGCTGGGATGAAGACTTTAATCTAGGCCACCACAGCTACACCACTCCCCGCCCAGCACGGCTGTGATCATCGCTGACTTGGGCCCCCAAAGCCTATTTCGCCAGCCACCTCCAGCATTTTGATGAATACATATTACACTCTTAAAAGAGCAGACTTGCCCAACCCTGGCCTACAGAGAAACCGCAACCCCGATTTTTCAAAAACATCTAATTGTACTATGTATTTTAGTACAGGGTCTGGTTGGGCTAGATAAACATCGCCTCCTGATTGTAGTTTCACAAAGGATGACTAACTTGGCCCGAATTCCTCTGGCTCCCAAGATATTTCGACAAAACCATCAAAGGATCTATTTTCTACAACCGTACGCCAGAACTCGGGTAAACACTGCGAGAGTACAGCAGTAGCGGGAGAGAACTGGGAAACAGTCGCTGAGTGAAACGAGGCAATTTATCGCCCACTTCCATTCTCACTCTCTCACGAGGAACCTTTACCAGTTCGGGAGCCTGTTTTGAAGGGAGAGGGAGGGAAACTGATCTGTGCCGAGTAAATCCTGTTTCTCCAGAGCCTCCTCTCATTTCATCCTCAGAGCAGTCAGATGAGGTAAGGTGGGGGTTGGGGAGAGAAGGGGCTCTTGGGGAGCCCTCCGCCCAGGCACTGGGCTGGATGTGTGGTACACGTTAGCTCATTTCCCATTTGATCTTCACAGCAACCCCGAGACAGATACACAGACAGACAGACACCGTCACGGCAAAGTCACGCAATTTGTGAGCAGGAAGCACAGCACTGAATCCCAGCTGGCCCGGATTCTGCAGCCTTTTTTCCTTTCACTGCACTGGGCCTCCTCAGGGGCCTCCTCTGGCTTAGGACCAAGGCCCCTCCACTGAGTGCCTCTCCCTCCTGTGGTATTCCAGCTGCATGTGCCCCCTCCCCCTCTCGGCCCTCCTTCCACGCTCCCTCTTCCAGCTCTCCTCTGCTCTTCTGTGCTCCCCATGCTGCAGCTCCCCCTGCACTGTAGGCTCTCTGGGCTGGGGTGAGGGTCACTTGCTTCTGTTGCTGGCTGCGGCCCTGGGAGCTCCCGTTCCATCCTGCTGGTCAGCAAGAGGACCAGCCAAGCTGTGACTTGGGAGGTCTGTCTGTTTTTGGCTTTTAGGGGGTGTCGTAGACAGCACAGGCTTGGGGTAAGGAGTGTCAAGATGGCCTTGCTGCCAACCACATATGTGACCTTGACCTAATGACAAAGCTGATGTGAGCACCAAGGAAGGGGTGTGAACAGACACGGGGATGAGCCACTGGCATGGGGCCTGCAGGTGGGTCTCAAAACCTGGCCCGGTCAGTTCAGTGTGGAGGAAGGAAGTAGGTAACACCCAATAAACACCTTCTGGAAGACAGGCATTTTCTCATCACCATCTTGTCACATTCTTACAGGAACATTACAAGAGATTTTTTAATCCACATTCACAGATGAGGAAATTGAGACCCCGAGAGGCTATGTGGTCTCAAAATCACAAGGTGGCATCTGGCAGAAAGGACTCAAACCCTGGGCTCTGTCTGTCCGTTGAGGACCCTTATTATCCCCACAGCACAAAGAGCTGGCTACAGGATGTCAGTCAGCAAACAGTCTTGACCATGCACACACACACACACACACACAAACTCCCCCATCTCCACAGCTCACGGGCAGCAACAGACCCCCCGCCCCAGAAGAGGCAGGCATTGGCCAGGCACGGTGGCTCACACCTCGAGTCCCAGAACTTCCGGAGGCCAAGATGGGAGGATCACTTGAGCCCAGGTGCTCAAGATCAGCTTAGACAACAAAGCAAGACCCCATCTCCACAAAAGAATTAAAAATTAGCCAGGTGTATCTGGTGCATGTCTGTAGTCCCAGCTACTTGGGAGGCTGCAGGAGGACTGCTTAAGCCCAGAAGGTCAAGGCTGCAGTGAGCCATGATGGTGCTACTGCACTCCAGCCTGGGTGACAGAGTGAGACCCTGTTTCAAAAAAAAAAAATCGATTTACTTTAAAAAAGAAAGGG